GGGTGGCCCCCACGTTCACTGTCGTTCACAAGGCCTAGTCTTTCCTCAGCGGACGCTTGATAAACATCACCGACGTTGTGGAGGCCAAAATGAGCAGCGCCAACGGTAACCCTTGGCCGGGTGACTGGGTCACTTTTGCTCTTTCACGGAGAAATAGACCGAGACGGATGACTGCTCTCGATCTCCATATAATCATCACCCAGAGAACGCAAAGAGAGATGCCAGTAATTGAAAGGTACGCATTTATTCAGCCCGTAAAGATTAAGAACAGGCTCTTATTAACTTTACATGTAATATTTTTTTATTATACCTAGTATAGTGCACGTGCTTTTGCATCGAGAGCATACTTGTTTTGTTTTATATTTTTTCAAACTTTTTTGTTGGCTGCCAAATAATGAAATGACTCGTATAGCAATGTAAACTTCAAACAATTACAATTTTGTTTAAATGAATAATTGTACGATGAAATTGTGTATGAAGAACTATATGATCAATTATTATAGTTTGGATAATTGTCATAACTTATTCATAGTTTATTAAAATAATTACAATATATTAAATAATTTATTCTCTTTTAAATATAATAATACTATACATAGCATAATTATAACACTATTAGTAACTACATTTTAATTTCATAATTAGTTTATTACACTATTAGTAAATAATTTTCTAAATTGTATAAATATTAAATTACAATGTAATTTGTTAATTAAAAAAATATGATTAAAATTATTATACTATTAATATAATTATAATTATAATAAATACAAATTGTTTCCATACTATTATCATACTTTTAAATAGCTAATAAGATGAAAGGTAACAAACAGTCCTTCATAAGAGGTGAAACCCAAAGGCATAAGGCATAAGCCAAATAAATTTTTATTACTTTTAATTTTTCTATAATTTTAAATATTATGTGAAGTTAAATTAATGATAATTTCAAATTTTCTATTAAATAATACAATTAAATAATAAAATAATACATTTTATATACTAAATATGTGATACAGTGTAGTATATTAAAATTAGTTTTATATATATTTATAATATAATACATTTTAGTGGAAATATTATAGTCTAAATATAGCAAACAATACTTACATAAATTGTCTAATTAATGAGATTTAGTAGGATGGGAGGTTATGAGAAGAATTTGAAGAGGTATTATAGTTCATGTAGGGAGCACTGCCATGACCCAGACAAGGGACAGATGAGTGACACTACGGGCATACCCCCAACCATACCTTGGGACACACCCCCTCTCTCAGCTACAGTGCACGTGACCCACTTTAGATTTTAAAAAAAATTTAAAGTGGGCCCCGTGCACTGTAGCTGAGAGAGGGGGTGTGTCCCAAGGTGTGGTTGGGGGTTTTTCGCGACAGATATCGGAGGACAGGTGACGTGGCCGCCGACGTGTTCAATTGCGTCCCAAAACTCCAAAACCAATAGCGCGCGCTACTCCATTTTCCTAGAGAGAGAAAAAACGACAGAGAGAGGAGAGAGAAAATGGAAATGGAGGTGGAATCGAGCTCGAGCAACTGGAGAAAGGAAGCGGACGCCAACCTTAAGAGGCTCCACTCGCTCCTCTTCGGGTCGGATCTCGCCGCTTCCGAAAGATCCGATCCGGTCCGCGGCCGAGGATCCTCGGCCTCCGCTCTGATCGGGTTCACTCGACTCTCGGACGAACCTAAGGATTGTTTCAATATATAAATTAACCCGATTCGATCTGATGGTAGAGTCGAAGGTGAGATCATATGCTTCGGTGCCTTGGCGCACGACTTCGATCGTATGGCCTACGTTATACCTAGAAACCCTAGAGATTTTGATTCAGCTGTTTCGTTGGGTTGCTTGAATTAGGGATTTTAGCTGGGATTTAATAGTGGAATATTTGAATTTGGCAACTTTAAATGAATTGTGCAACCATAGCGGTTTTGATTCAGCTGCTTAGTTTAGTTGCTTAAAATTAAGGATTTTAATAAGTGAAATTTGATAGTAAGATTTTTTTAATTTGAGAACTTTAAAAGTGTTGTGCACTAGCTTCCGATTTTGGCCCGGTAAACCCCCTTAAAATCCTAGAAACCCTGAAGACTTCGATTATTGTTTACTTTCTTAAAACTGAGGATTTCAGCTGACATTTCACTGGAAAATACTTGAATTTGACAGCTTTAAAAGAATTGTGCATTCGCACCTGATTCCTACCAGTAAACCCCCTTAAAACCCTGGAAAACCCCAGATGCTGTGATTCAGTTGCTCAGTATTTTTTTCTCCAGGTTTATGTAGAACTAGGGTTATCAAGTTAGGTAGTAAAGGGATTTAAATTCGGTATTCGTGAAAGAGTTGAGCAAAACATTTATTTCTGAATATTTTTTATTCATTCATTTTGTTTGGTTTTGGATTACCTAGTTCTTTTATCTTAAATTATCAGATGAAATGAAAATATAGATTAGGAAATTCTGTGGGCATTTAATAGTGAAGAAATCAATATTAATTATTCTGTGGAATTTAATAATTATTGTAGAATTAGAATTTAATATTTTTCACAAGAATCCTAGGTAACACGGACACTTCGTTTTGGGTGTTGTGTCCGTGTCTGACACGTGTCCGACACTGACTCTCTGCGGACACTCCATGGACACTTGTGGTTCAAAGAAAACCCGATTTCCCCATTACTTATATCCTAAACTAGTTTCTCTGGTAATATTAGGTTCACAACCAATTGGTTTTTAACCCGAAAACTAAAACTCATTACTTAAATATTTGAAAAACACCCATCGTACTATCCCATGTAGTCAAAACTAAACTTTTTGTTGTTAAATCATATTATTGGTTTCATTTAATTTGATTCTTAATTGTAATGGATAGAAAGAAGCACACAAATGTTTTTGGTATTTTCGTTCAATATTTGATCATGTGTGTGTATTATATACCGTGTCCCCCTATCCTACATTCTATTAATTTGCTGAGTACCGTGTCCGTGTCCGTATCCATGTTGGTATTCGTGTCCATGTCAGTGCTACCCAGCTAGAACCCGATTCTGACTAGTAAACCCTAGAACCTTAGAAATTTGGATTCAGTTTCACCTTTTAGTTGCTTAGTTTCTGGTTTAGATCTGTGTGAATTTAGGTTTTTTAGTTGACAATTGAATGTAAAATATTTGAAAGCTGGTAAAGCTTGAGGTTGGCCACTTGGACTCAACTATATATTGAATGCATTGTTTCTGATTTTTTTTTTTTTCAGATTGAATATGTTGGGTTAGTTTTGAATTGTTTGCTGAGTCTCTGTCTTTTACATGTAAGTCATCAGATATTAGGGAAATAGAGACTAGAAATTACCATTGACAATTAGTAAAATATTTGATTTTATTATTGTAATAAGCTGTCTATATGAAAAAGACCAACTCATCATGTGGTTCACAGATGGTAATGGCAACTGTTAGTATTTGATTATTAATGTATAATTAGTAATTTTTTTACTCAACTATGGGTAAACAAAGGGATTTAAATTGGAATCTGATAATAAAAGTTTTGAAATTTGGCAACTTGAAGAATTAGTATCAGCATGTTCAAAGCTTAAGGTTGGGCACTTTGACTTAAAGAATATTAACAGGATTAGTTTCTGGATTTTGGGTTCAACTGGCTGCGTTTAGGTTATCAGATAATAGGAAAATAGATAGTAAAATTTATCATTGGCATTTAATAGTTTCAAGAAGTTGATATTAATGGATTTTCTGGAATTCAATGTTCGTTGTCCTAAATAACTTGCTAGATGAGAATCCCTAACTCATGAATTATTACCCTCTGGTTAGCACACACTAATGGCAATTAGCGATTATTTGGTTACATATCTTTCCAGTTTATTTATTAATTCTTTATGTTTGTTCTAGTAGCATATCTCTATATATCTTCTCTAAGTATAATTACTTAGTTGGTACGGTAATTTTTCATCTTCTATTGTTAGTCATAAATCATATGACTCTTGAAGATCATCACTAGTATGCAATTGATAAGCACTGTAGTTTTTTATATTTTCTCTAATTTTTTCTTAACCCTTTTTTTCAGATTTTATTTTATTTTCATTTTCAAATGACTGCCATGGACATGCAGTAATCATCATAAACCTATAATGATTTACTTTGCAATGCCCATATGTAACCTGGTATGCCTGAAGCTTGTGATTCTCAAATGCCTTAGCTTGGGATATGGTACCATACTGGCAAAGAATGTCGCCGGTGTTTAATGCGGACATGTGAACTCACATTTAATTATATCTGCTTATAACTAGATTCATGTGTCACTCTGCATATTTATATGCTTGCTTGAGTTGTCAGTTTTCTCTCTATTACCCCGGAACAGATTTTATATGTTATTGATGCCTGTGAAATCATATTCCATGCTGTGCTAACAAGATTTGCACATACCAATTATGAAAGCAAGCCTGAATATGTAACTGCAATCTTATCTTAGTTGAAACGTTTGTTACTCTGTGCTTTCCGGTTTCATCTTTGTTGTGACATGGCTTCACCATAATTGTCGTCTTTTTCTGAAGATTATTTTCAAGCTGAAATGACCTTAAGCCTCGTTTGGTATGTGGGAATGAAGTCAAGTGAGAATGTAATGAAGGTAGGAATGAAATGGAATTGATGTGGGAATGGAATGCTCATTCTCATTCTCATTCTCATGTTTGAGTGTGATTAGAGAATTAAGTGAGAATATATTTAGGAAGGGCATATCCGGAATTTATTTTATTATTTTCATTCTCACTTGAGTGGTAATATCAATTCCTCGATAACTCACTGGGAATAGCAATTCCCGCATTAAGTGTGAATTGGTGAGAAGTGGGAATGATATTTCTAGCATCCAAAAATACATCATGTTTGATAAGCATGAATGAGAAGTTGGAATCACATTCCGTTTCCACTCATTCCCACGTAACAAACGAGGCGTTACTTTCAGGTTTTAATTTTTTTCCCCTTCTACACATCCTAAGGGCTAAGATATAGTAGCTTATGAATTCAGCCAGGCATTTGAACAAGCAAAAAGAGAACGTGGCCATGTCTTTACGCAAAAAGTGGACATTGATATGGAGATGATTAAGCAGTCAAAGTACTTCCATCATATCTTTGACAGATCAAACGGAAATACTACAGGCCAGTTGGTATGTAAACTTCTTACTGTCTGTTAATCTATTCCTGAGAATTATCTTAAGCTTGCATTTATGTTCTGTTAGTTATACTTTACTATCTAAAATATAGTTCCTGTATGCTGTGGATTGAATTGATTGAGACACTTCCACACACGTACCGGTTATTCAACTGATTCTCAAAGAAACGTTTAATCTTTTTGGAGTAAAAGTAAACTTGTTTAATTACCTATCTAGCATTCTGGCAGATTTTTAAATGCTGTATAAATGAAGCTGCCTTTTGAACTGGAATAAAAAAACTATCTTTTGTCCTAATTATAAATTCCCTTTGATATTTCTTCCTAATTATAAATTCCCTTTGATATTTCTTAGATCTCCAACACCACATCAGATGCCAATATATTCTCTCCTCAGGGATCTTCTATGACAGAAAAGCAGCAAATGCGAGCAAGTGAATCAGACGCACAACATGAAAAGTTGAGTGCCAGAGCTTCTAAGCTCATGACACAGACAAAGATAACGTCTATATATGGTAGCAAGGTTCTAAAGGCGAATAATATATCCCACAAGAAGCTGCCGAACCCTGAAAGTTCTAAATCTGTGGAGTGCATTGATGTCAAGAATGATGAAGAAGAAAAACCTTATGGGAGTAATCTGAGGCCAAAAAGGCGGCACACAGAGTTTACAAGCCCAATATGTGAAATTGTGAAATCACCACCTTCATCATGTAATGAAGAAGCAAATGTAGAGATCTCTGGCAACAGTTTTGTGACTGCAAGAGCAAAACTGGTATTACTTTATTTCTCAAGCTATCTGATATATGCTGAGTTATATGATTGCATGCTTTTTGCATTATGATGCATCTTATAATCGTCCAAATTCTGGAAAACCATAAAAAAGTATATCCACTGTTTTATAATCACACATATTTTTCTTTTTACCTGTTTACTATGTTAATTGTGCACGAATCCTTTCTCATTTTTTTTCCCAATTCTCTGATCTGTTCGATTCATCTTTTCAAACTGAGGATGAAGCAATTAATGTTGTGCGCAGCGGAATCGAAAATCTCAAACAAGATCAAAACAAGTACTACAACAGGCACGACACCTAATTTACGTAGTTCGGCAATATGCCTACGTCCACGGGACAAGGAGGGGATAAATCTCACTAATAGAGAGGGAGAGTACAAATAGAGATTATAATCACTCAATAATCTCACAAACAAATCACTCTTGATTTTTCCTCTACTCTCAATCTCTCTCACAAGATTGCCCAAACTACAATCACAAATCTCTCTTAATCACTCTTAAGTTTCTGCTATTTTTTTTCTTAGCAGCTTCTGATAATCTTCAGGAATAAGGAGGTTTTTATAGCCTCCTTCTCTGTCAATCAGGCCATCAATCAGGCCACAAAACTCCCCCCCTTTGTCAAAATAATCAGGCTATCAAAAACTACGGCATCCCCTTTGTCAAAAACTGTGGCAGCCACCAGCCACCTTATTTGACTTACAATCTCCACCTCGGTGAAGTTTTTCCAAAAAAAAACTGAGCCGACACCAATATCAACCAAATGTCCCACTTGTTGCGTCCAGTACGAAGCAGAACAAATCCACGATAACAGACTCAATCCACAACAAGTCGGGAACCCAAATAAGAACTTGAACGAACTCCACCATGTCGGTATGAACTCATCAAACTGGTTGCATCTAACTGACTGCCTATGTATCCTCTTGCCCAAGAAATCAAGCCTCACGTAGTTCATCCAAATAGCCTCCAAAGGCCCTCAACATCGAAGAATGTTCAATAACTCCAAGCAATGACCAAATTTCACTCCCGTGACAACTTTGGTCAACATACCTGTCGGATTGTCCTTTGTGTAGATCTTCTCCAATCTAACATCTCCATCATCCAAGACGTCTCGAACAAAGTGGAATCTGACATCAATGTGCTTTGTTCATGCATGATATACCTCGTTCTTTGCTAAAAAAATAGCTGACATGCTATCACAATTTACCCTGATGATATCTTGTGTAATCCTCGTGTCTTCTAATAATCCTTGCAACCACAAAGCCTCATTCACAGCTTCAGTCAATGCCATATACTCCGCCTCCGTAGTGAAGAGAGCCGTTGTAGACTGAAGTGTACATCTCCAACACACCAGTGCTCCTGCCAATGTAAACACATATCCTGTAGTAGACCGGCGCTTGTCAAGATCTCCCGCATAATCACAATCCACATAGCCAACACAATCCTGCACAATCTTCTTATTCTTCTGAAATACCAAACCAACATCCACGGTACCTTTGATATACCGTAGAATCCATTTTACGGCCTCCCAATGACCCTTCCCTGGGTCGTGCATATACCTAGACACCATGCTCATGGCCTGTGATAAATCTGGCCTCGTACACACCATCGCATACATCAAACTACCCACCGTATTGGTATATGAAATTTTGGACATGTAATCACGATCCTCAACTAAAACATGTGACAGCTTAGCTGGAAGCTTAAAATGGGGAGCTAATGGAGTACTCACCGTCTTGGCATTGCCATTAAAATTAAATTTCTTTAGCATCTTCTGCAAGTAGCTCCTCTGCGTCAACTTCAATCTTCCCTTCACCCTGTCTCTCTCAATCTCCATACCTAATATCTTCCTTGCTTCTTCAAGATCCTTCATCTTAAATTCGGATGACAGCTCATTTTTTAACTTTCTAATAGCTAAAGTAATCCTGGAAGCAATGAGCATATCGTCAACATATAACAATAAATAAATATACTCACCATTTTGTAGCTTGTGCATATAAATACATGGGTCATATGGACTCCTCGTATACCCTTCGCCAATCATAAAACTGTCGAATCTCTTGTATCATTGTCGCGGTGATTGCTTTAATCCATAAAGAGATTTTTTCAGTTTGCATACCAAATCATCATTTCCTGCAGCTTTGAATCCCATAGGTTGTAACATATAGATCTCCTCTTCTAAGTCTCCATGTAGAAAAGCTGTCTTCACATCCATCTGGACCAAATCCAAATCCAGCTGTGCCACCAAAGCCAATAGTATCTTTATCGACGAATGTTTCATGACCGGTAAGAATACTTCATTATAATCTATGCCCTCAAGCTGGGCATACCCTTTGGCCGCCAATCTGGCTTTGTATCGAATGTCTCCATTAGAAGATCCTTCTTTCTTTGCATATACCCACTTGCATCCAATTGTTTTTTTACCCTTCGATAGCTTTGCAAGTTCCCAAGTATCGTTCTTCTGAAGAGAGTGCATCTCCTCCTCCATAGCTTTCCTCCACCTGATTGAATCAGAGCTTGACTCTACTTCCTTATATGTAGAAGGAACCAAATCATCAATGACCTCAACTGACAAAGCATATGCAATCATCACATCATCATATCTAGCTGGCCAACGAATAACTTTTCTCGTTCTATTAGCTACAATGGACTCCTGAACATGACAATGTTCCTGAGTCCTAACATCCACTGTATCATTCACCTGCCCATCTGTAATCACGTCTCCTCCCAGTGTCACCTCTGTAAGAGCCTTAATGGATATAATGTCATCTAAAGTGTGTAGAGTCACATCATCCTCTACCTCTTACGATATCCCGTTAGTCTGACCTTCCTCCACCTGCTAAGGAACTTGAGGCCTCATCATGTGTGCCTCATCAAAAGTGACATCTCTGCTAATGATCATCTTCTTGTTTTGTTAGTCCCACAATTTGAAGCATTTGACTCCATCTCTAAAGCCCACAAAGACTGTTTTTTTGCCCTCGGATTTAATTTCCCATCATTCACATGATAGTAAGCTAGACACCCAAAAATCCGAATCAAATCATAATCACTAGCTACAAAACCAGACCATACATCTATGGGAGTCTTCCCATGTATCGCAGTGTACGACAACCTATTTATGAGATGGCTCGCATAAACCAATATCTCTGCCCAAAAGGATCTAGCCAATCTACTCTGTGAGAGCATACAACGTACTTTCTCCAGCAAGGTACGATTTAATCTCTCGGTCACCCCGTTTTGTTGCGGTGTCTTCCTAACTGTGAAGTGTCGCCTAATGCCGTGATCCCGACAAAACTGCAGAAATAGATAACTTTTGTACTCTTCACCATTGTCCGAACGGAGTACTTTCACCTTTTTACATATCTGCAGCTCTATTTTCTTTTTCCACTCCACAAATATATCCTGGACCTCATATTTATGCTTTATAGGGTATACCCAATTTCTCCTGAAATAGTCATCAATGAAAGTGACAAAATAATTAGCCCCACCAAGAGATGTGTTCTTGAAAGGACCCCAAACATCAGTATGAACATAATCTAATATACCTTGGGTGTTGTGAATTGCGGTGCCGAACTTCACCTTCGTCTTCTTCCCAACTATGCAGTGTTCACACAGCTCCATCTTGCAGGTCTTTGTACCATTCAGCAGCCCCTGTTTTGCCAATGCCTGCAAGGACTTATCACCAGTGTGTCCCAATCTCATATGTCATAAGCTGGTAGTATCCTCCTCTGTGGTAATTAAAGCTGCCAGACCTCCTGTTATTGTCTTACCCTTCAAATAGTAAAGATAGTTTTTCCTAACACCTCTCATCACCACCATGGACCCTTTTGTGACATTCAGAGTTGCATTCTCCAATATCACCCTACAACCTGCTGCCTCCAAAGTTCCAAGAGAAATGATTTTTTTCGTCAACTAAGGAACGAACCTCACTTCCTTCAGCTCCCTAGTCACCTCGTCACACATCCTGATCCGAACTGTTCCAATACCACCAATAGGATATACGTGATCATTTCTCATGAGCACGACATCCTTTCTTTCCAACTCCTCAAAGCTGGAGAACCAATCCCTTCTAGTGTAAATATGGTATGTAACACTCGAATTCATCATCTACTCCATAGAGTCGGCATAACACATTGACGGTAATGCAGGACATGAGTAGCCCGAAGAATCCAAATCTGAATTGTCGCTACTAGCTTTGGCAACATTCTCCTCTGAAGCTTGTACAGCTTTTTCTTTATTTTTTCCAGCTCTATCCTTCAACTTTGGCCATTCATTCTTCCAATGTCCATCTTTTTTACAAAAAGCTCATTGATTCCTACCAACACTCTTATGGTCATCTCTATGCTTTGATTTTGAGCGATTAAACTGACGGCGGTTTGAACTACGGCCTCTCACTGTCAATACATCTCCTGATGCATTCTCGAAGGGTTCACTGTCACTCTTTCTCAACTCATAATTAACCAATGCTGAGGTCACCTCTTTATAACTGACAATGGTTCTACCATTAATCATTGTAAGGACAAAGGTACCATAATCATCCTCTGGCAATGAACATAATAACAACATCGCTTTATCTTCATCCTCTACCATGATATCCATATTGGCCATATCCGATAGCAATTTTGTGAAATTATTAACATGTTCTCTAATTGAAACTCCCCTCTTCATTTTGAATTGGTAAAACCTCTTCTTTAAATGAAGTCTATTCTCAATGCTTTTCGTCAAATAATTGTCATTGAGTTTTTCCCACAACCGTTTCGCCGATGTTTCATTCATTACATTATAAATCAAATCCGACGTCAAACATGATCTAATAACCCTACATGCTCTACTATTTATTTTTTTTCAAATATTATCCTCCATATCATCGGGTTTCTCTAGTAATTCAAGAGTCTCCTCCAAATTTTGGGCATCTAATGCATCTATCACTTGACACCTCCACAAACCAAAATTTATATTGCCATCAAATTTTTGAACATTAATTTTTGTATTATTAATGCTCAACCTTTGTATCGCCTTAGTCAAGGGCGATCCCGATGTACTTGATTCAGTCATTTTCAATCTAATCTCCAAATTACACAACTACAACTTGAATTGAAAAAGAGCAAAATTAGGGTTTGTACCTCCAAATGAGAATCCGCACCGAATCCTCCAATTGATTTCTCCACCACTCCTTGGAAGATGAAATCCCTTGTAAAAACCCTAGCTTTCTCCTCCAATCCTCCAAAATTGAACCCCAAGCCAACCCGGAGCTCTGATACCACTTGTTTTGCGTAACAGAATCGAAAATCACAAACGAGATCAAAACAAGTACTACAACAGGCAAGACACCAAATTTACGTGGTTCGGCAATATGCCTACGTCCACGGGGCAAAGATGGGATAAATCTCACTAATAGAGAGGGAGAGTACAAATAGAGATTACAATCACTCAATAATCTCACAAACAAATCACTCTTGATTCTTCCTCTACTCTCAATCTCTCTCACAAGATTGCCCAAACTACAATCACAAATCTCTCTTAATCACTCTTAAGCTTCTGCTGTTTTTTTTCCTTAGCAGCTTCTGATAATCTTCAGGGAAGAGGGCAAGGAGGTTTTTATAGCCTCCTTCTCTGTCAATCAGGCCATCAAAAACTGCGGCATCCCCTTTGTCAAAAACTGTGGCTGCCACCAGCCACCTTATTTGGCTTACAATTAACAGATTATAGCAAGATCATGGTCAGAGCTAAATTAACATGCAAATATCTCCCTTAAAAAGAACAGTAGATCTATGTTAGGTTTTACATATACAATAATTTCATTTATATAGCGAAATATGTTTTCCTTTATTGGCTTCGAAGATATTAGAGTGGTAGTTGGATCTGAAAGCACAGCCTTTTCCAAATACTATACTTATCAAAATTTATGGAGTATTCTTATATCTACTCTTCAGGCCTCTATGTTTTCCATGTTTTCTCAAGATGACAACGATTTATGGGGACAAAGCTAGTCTGATAGTTTGTCTTTAAACTATCAAATTTCAGGCATCTGTTATGTAACCATTCTAATGAGAAAAGACCTGGGTATCATTTAGCAATCAATATATCATGCGTTTGGCAAAACTTTTCCTCCTCTTCAGATCGATCTAAATGGCAACTGCGAAAATTTGTTAGCACGTACTATGTTACACATCTGGTTCATATATCCTAAAGTTGGATTAGCAAACGTGCTATTATCAGTGATAGTGGTGGGAAAACGTATAAGAAAGTCGTGACATGAGATTCTATCTTCTTCCCTTTCTTTTGCTAACTTATAATAAACTAACGTTAGTTTAAATTCTGTGATTTCATATAATCAGAGATTTTAATGCTGCTGGTTATGAATTCTTATTTTTTTTTTCAGGAAAGGGATACAAGGCAAAAGCATGGTCTTGCAGGTTCTTCAAACGCATCTGTGTCCCCACAAAGTGACAACAATCTTGCTGGGAACATCAGAAACTATGGCATGAGGTCTGGTGGTTTATCTCGCCGTGGCTTGAGAGGTAATTTTGTCCCGCCAATCAGATCCAGTGGGGGAAATGCAGGAAATACGACATCAAGAATTCCAGGGAAATGTGAGGATTCATTAGAAGATTCAACAAGAAAATGGTTCGTACCTTTGAAGTTTGAACTATAGTGTTAGACATTCATAGTTCGTACCTTTGGGTTTCAACATTCATAGTGATTTCAAGCACTACATTTTGAACTATAGTGTTAGACTATGAAAATATAACCTCACCCTCATCATAACCATGAAGGCACCCTTTGCATTAAACTCCAAGTTCTAATATCGGGTCCTTCAGTCCAACTGTGTGTGTTTAAAACATTGAGGAGTTGTTGTAAATTAAAAGCAAATAAGGTGGTGGCGACTGACTAAACTTTGGAGCATAACCAAGTCCAGTGAGGTTTCCTGAGATTCCATGCGTTCTGAAAGAGTCTAGGAAAGAGGGATGCAAAATCAATATTTTCAATCCAATGATCCAAACAAAATCTAGCAGTGTCACCAACTCCAACATTCACTTGATGCTGGAAAGGAAAATCTCGCTCGCTTTGAGAATACTCCTCCAAGCACTGTTTTAAATATCGGCCGATAAACGATATTATCGGCCGAGTTATCGGATTTTGGAGCTCTCCGCTAGGATAAATTGGATTTTTAATTGGTTATCGTTTTTGTAGGTTTATCGGCGATTTATCGGCGTTATCGGCACTTATCGGCCGATAAGTAAGACTTTGTTATCGGGATTATCGGGATTATCGGCCCATTTTGACTAACATTATATTTTTTCAAGGCTATGATGCAAGTTTCGCTTTCTACAATTTGTTAGTGATTCTAAACATGATGATTTATATTTTGGTATGTTTATATTTCATTAAGCATGATTAGATTATATTTTTTAATTGGTATATTATATATACACATCATCCAGTATATCACTCCGATAAATACTACTTATCCCCGATATATCCCCGATTTCCACTATCCGATAAGGATTTTGGCCGTCCGATAAATCCCCGATAACCGATATTTAAAACCTTGCCTCCAAGAAGGAGACACCTAGCCGGAGATGGAGCTCGAGACATCCCAAATACAACATCTTCTGTAATAATCTTATTGCGCTAGTATTCCCAAGGAACTTCACCATTAATTAGAAATCTCCACTATTTAGAGAGGAGATAGATATTGAATTGTTCGATGAAGGACACCAATACCTCCAATTTCTTTACTCCTACACATCCTCTTCCATTTTATTTTACTAAATAAAATGCACCATTAGCCTCCTTATCTTTCCAAAAAAGCCTCAATGAATATGATCAATGTGTTTTATCACCCAATACAGAAGATGGTAAAATGACATATGGTGAAGAGGGATAGCAGAAAGGAATAAATTAACAAGAGTTAACCTACCTCCTCTAGAGAGAGAAGTTCCTTTCCAAGCAACTAGCCTTCTATCAACACAATTAATAACAGGTTGCCATCTGAGCGAGATGGTTTTGTAGATTTGATTGGAATTCCCAAATGTGTGAATCATAGTTACACAGTACGCGGTACGTAGCGTGTCACTATACGAATTCGGGTACGCAATTCGTCACTTAGAAAATTTGGATTCGTTAGAGGTTGCTTGTTTCGATGTGCAAGTTCGGTTAGTGGTACATTGTAAATTTTTTCAGGTGTGCTTAAAGTTTTTCAAAGAATATAGTGGAAAGCTAGAAAGCTAATTATGAATTTTAATATTTTTTTCATACAAAATATTTAAATATATTTTTTGGATGGAGTTTGTTTCTTTGTTCCGTTTTTTTCATAGAGCTCGTTTTAGGATCATTGTTTCGTTTTATATTTAATTAACATACGTGTTTTGTTAGAGTATAGTCATTGGCTCATATACTCTATTGTGTGTCTCCCTTTACTTAATTGCACATATTGCATTGCACCTTGCGCATGTGCACTTAAAAAGACTTTGCATTTAGCATACTTGTTAGTGGTATGCTATTTTTGGGGAACTGATTCGTGTATCAGAGGGAATTGGTTCGCAAATGTATCGGGAATCGGTTCACGGGAACTGTTCCATGGTTCGAGGGGGCTCGGGGAGTCGCGCAACGATGGTGTGAATGGAGGTGTACCAAGCTTGCATCTAAAATCAGAATGCTTGCTCACCCATGTCATGTGTATGAGAAAAGTTGTAGACGGCAGATTCGTGGAAATCAATTTTGAGGCCAGATTATTGATTGAGAACCATATAGGATAAGCTTCAAACACAAGTGACAATCTATCTCTAGGCATGAGAATTAACTATTAAGAGTATCATCAGCATAGTAAGGGCTAACAAGATTATCGGCGAAGGAAGTTCATGTATGTATTTTACAATGCTACTCATACCTGCTTTCTGGAGGATTTTGGTAAGAACATCCGCGATAATTATAAAGAAGAGGGGTGAGAGAGGATCTCCTTTTCTTAGCCCTTTTTTACACTGAATATAAGACCTTTTCACCATTTATGTTGACTGAGGATGTGGACATTGATAGAGAAAGATATCTAATGCAACCGTATAAGACCGAAACCACACTCTTTAGCGTTTCTAAGATGATTTGCCAACTTACTGAGTCAAATGTCTTTTTAAAGTCAAGGTTTAAAAGCACATCATCATTGTTGGAGTGAAAATGATAGACGATCTCCTGAGCGCACTTCACATTATCAAGTAAGAACTAGTTTTCAATGATAGCCAATTGAGCATTGCAAATGAAATTCAATTGAGTTCTAAATCAAAATATGCAATTTACATTAGTTTTGCATGGTTAGTACTTGTTACCTCGCTTTAGACGTATTCATAAGTTGATTAAGTTAGTTTGAATTGTCATGCACTTAAAAGATCATGCGAACGTGTTCTTTCTTTTTTACTGTGACGTCCATGGGTTCACACAAGGCTGCACTCCAAGGTGAATCCAATGATGTCAAACCTGTCATGCACTCATACTGTGCAACGATATGTTTCACTATCACAGAAATATCTCTGTAGTGGAATCAAATAAAACAGTACATGTAGAAGCAGATATAAAAGAGATGAACATAGAAAATCAGACATGGAAGTAAATGATAAGTCTCATAAATGATCAAGTCTCAACTGAGTAAAGTTATTCAACAATCTGATACAAAAAGATAAACGTCTCAATACACCGAGTCAAATGAAAATACATAGGTTCTCAACTCTCAAAATAAAATACAAATCTAATAATCCACTAAATACAAGACTAAACATCGGTGGAGCAAAAGTAACTAATAAATAAAATGACAACGACTATACTGAAAGTCCGTAAATCTGCGGCTCTTCGAAACTTTGCTGCCTGAAAAAAAGTTTAAAACAAAAAGAACAACAAAAGCGTCAAAACGCTATAGCAAGATCATCTCCATCCGTCCCCAAGGAAAGAAATACTAAGTATGATGGAGGCTCTACCTATAAGTGCATAGTCTACCTAGTTCATTTCCCCCGTATCTAATAGAATCAATATTTAGACACCTACAAAACGAGACGTAGTACATCGAGTAAAATAATCCAAACAAGAAAACCTTCATGTATATCATATGTCTTAAATTGTAGATACCTAAACATTAACACCGAACTAGAAATAAACAATCTAAAGAAAATCAATAATTAGAAACTCACAACACGAGACTGGTACGTCGAGCGAAATAATCCAAATAAGAAAACTCTCATGTATATACAATATGTCTCAAATTATGAATCGCTAAATATTAACTCTAAAACTAAGAATAAATGAATATAAGAAAGATAATACAGGAAATACCACATCATACATCTCCAAAAATATCATATCAACTCCTCATACTACCCTTAGTGGGTAAAACAGATATCGACACACTCGTGTATCTAAGGTGTGAAATACTTTCATAATGGATCATATCGATGATATCAATATTCACCTACACTTAGGTTATTTATTGAATCGTCCTTCTCCGGAATACTTCAACTTATCGCACCCCCGTGCGGACCGGTAAATAGATGTCAGTTCATTGCACTCCCGTGCGGACCAATAACTAGGTATGTCAATTCATCGCACTCCCGTGCGGACCGGTAACTAAGTATAATAACTTATCGCGTAACCATGCGGACCGATAGTTTGGTATATCAACCTTTGCGCATCTTCGTGCGGACCGATAAATAGGTATTTTAACCTCTGTGCATCTTCATGCGGATCGATAGATAGGTATATCAACCTCTGCGCATCTCTATACGGACCGATAAATAGATATATCAACCTCTGCGCATCTTCATGCGGACTGATAAAGAAGTGTAGTCTATCTGCGGTCTTATTGCATGACCCGACTAAAGCACTCGGAGTATAGTCCATCTGCGGTCTCATTGCGGGACCTCACTAACCCCATCCAACCGATCATAATTATAATATATAATAATAGCCGTTACTCTTAACAATTGTAACTTATTTAGATACCCCAAACAATGTAATCATGCATACTCAATCCCCGTACGTGTACTCCTCGAACTATACGTGAATATCAACTCACGTCTTGTAAAAAAATGCTCACCAAACGAACACACAAGTAAAAGATTCAATCTCACAAAAACCGACCTGATCAGTCGACCGACAACCTCATCGGTCGACTGATAGGGTTGTTCACAAAATAACAGGGCAAACACGAGCCCGTCAGTCGACTGATGTCGACTGATGACCTCCCGTCAGTCGACTGATGACAACTTCAGTCGACTGAATAGGCCGAAAATACACAGTTTGTTCTTCTCTCGTGTTTTCTTTAAAAACTCGGGTTTTTATCAGATTATATGAATAAAACTTTGATTCCATTGTCATGTATATTTAACCAAGAGTTTGTTTAAACAAGATGAATCACATGAACACATAGATCTAAGGTTTAACATGCAAATCAACCTAATTCTTATTTATTTCGACAATCTAAAGCATATAAATCATATTAAACTGTAATTAACTCATTAAAATAAATTCTAACGATCATGATCATGTTAATATACTAGTTTCAGATTCGTTCTATTGTTCTTGATATGAGTTTAGGGCATGAACATCATAAATTAAGTTCTAACACGTTAGATCTTACCCTAAACATGAAATTAGACACATATATTACATAAAAATATGATTTTTAATTTAGGGATAGGTTTGGACAGAGGTGATCTTGCCTTAATCTCGTGTGCAAGCCTCTGAAACGAACAACAAGCGATCCAAAGGTGCAAACAAACCGTTCTCTCTTGCCACACGTCGATGATCTCGCCTTCGTGTCGGTATGTTTGCTTCACAAAACTCACAAGAAATTGATCTAGGGTTTTTGAGGGGATAGGATGGCTGCTAGAGTTTAGAGATATCATCAAAGAGAAGAATTTTCGTGAAAAATACAGGTATTTATAGAGGCAAATCTGAAACAAAACTTGTTTGACCCGAACCAGGAAACTTAGTCTGACTGGGAAAACCATCTTCGGTATTTTGACTGTATTTTTCTCATCCGACCTCAGAATGAGGTGATTTAAGATTTATTGGAAAACTGTTGAAGAGACCTACAACTTTGGTCTTTTGAGTTTTTCCAAATTCCACTACATCGTTGTGTAAAACACATATACTCTTAACTGGTTGTTTTTTCAGATACCAGGCTCGTGTATATAGTGCATGATTTCACTCCTATATTCACATATATACATTGAATTGATCTGAAATCAATTTCTAGCATACTCAAACATTAATAAATGTTATTTATCACCATATAACATATTTATTATTATTTATCAACATATTTTTAAATTCACGGGGTTTTACATTTACATAAACTAGAATTTCCTCCAATAAATAATGAATGTAAAAATTTTATTGGACCTTGCATTTGATTCATGTGCACTGTTTATGTTTGTAAATCATTTTAAGGAGTTACGTTTCTACGTATATAATACCCAATTACTATATGCATGTGAACTCATGTATTTCACTATCATTCATTCCTATCTGCTTATCGTTGGGTCTCAAATTCAGTTTAGAAATGTTATGTGGTCCTGATGGTGAGCTTCCTGAGAAGTTGAGGAATCTTGAGCCTCGTCTTATTGAACATGTGAGCAATGAGATAATGGATAAGGATCCTAATGTTCGCTGGAACGATATTGGTAATTCAGACCTTCTGGAAATTATTGTCTTAATGTATTTTTTGTGCTTGTTCATTTCTTGGAAGAACACGAGTTAATGCCATGATTGATATTGTATATAGCTGGATTGGATCATGCCAAGAAATGCGTGACAGAAATGGTTATATGGCCTCTTTTACGTCCCGACATATTCCATGGCTGTCGGTCTCCAGGAAGAGGTCTTCTTCTTTTTGGTCCTCCTGTAAGTTCATTGTTTTACAAAGAATCAAAGGTATCGTGGAATTACTGTTTTAGGTTTTAGTGATTAATTACTCTGTCTCAGGGTACTGGTAAAACCATGATTGGGAAAGCCATTGCTGGAGAAGCAAAAGCGACATTCTTTTACATTTCTGCTAGTTCATTGACAAGCAAGTGGGTAAGTACTCATTTTCTCCTGAATATTTCTGATTGTGCCTGTACTTCAAGGCCATTTAGCAAAAGTGCCTATTGAAATGCATACTTACTATAAATGAATAGAAATATTATATTGGGGCCAGAGTAACATTCTTCGCTTGGTACTAGTTTAAGAGGGCCACGTGTAATTGCATGCTATTACGATTCCTGATAATAGAAAACTGCCAATATATGACTTGTTTATATTTTAAAAAAACACACAGACATGGCATAAATTTCTTCTGAACTAAGTGGAAAGATCACAATTTTTCAGCATAAAATGTGAATTTGGAAGCAGTTTCACCCCATGCTTATTCCAACTGCTTGATTTAAACGGATGGACATGCCATTGTAGTCTGTGCCATTTTTCTGATGTTATCTTGATATGGATCATTCTTCAATTCAAGTATTTGACTTATTTTCACCTTGGAGAGGATTCAGATTTGATATAGGAAAAATTTCTGCCTTCTTTTCCTCACTATTCTTTTGCATTGCGGGTACTTTCGGAATATTGTATCATGGTCGCATGAGCAGTGTCTGTGACTAACAAGGCATGGTTCCTAGCTGTCCTTGTATACCCTATGGCAAACCACTCTGCCTATAATTGTTTTAGGTACTCAGCACAGACTAGTTTGATCTCCAATCTCGGTTAACAACTTATTGTAAAGTTTGCTCTATCCTTGAGGGTGTTCTTGACTTAAGGTTGTACTCAATGACCTTCCCTGCTTTGATCAAGACTGGGAGGGCTGTATAAAAGCCTTAGCAGATGTACTTATGTCATAATATCTACACAAGTATATTTTTGATATATTTTAGCGTTAATTACAGAAACCCCCATGAACTTTTGGGGAGTTGCAGTAAACTCCCATTGATTTTTTTTAATTCCACTAGGCCCCCCTGAACTTTAGGAGTTATTGCACCTAAAGCCCCCTGAAATTTTTTATTTTACTAAATCTTACTTGAAAATTTATCTTTTAATCCTCATATTCCACCATCAACTCTAATGTGTGAATGGGTAAGCATAGGATAGAAAAAGAAGACGAAAATTCCCTTCTTACTCCCAAAAAAAAACCCTTTTATTAAAAACGAAAAATGGGTTTTTCTAGACTAAGGGATTATTTTCATTTTTTTGGCACATGCTTGCCATATAATATGTTAGAAATTGATGGTGCTAATTTGGAGATTAAATGGGGAATTTTCATGTGAAATTTGGCAAGAAAAAAAGCTCAGGAGGGTTATGTGCAATAACTCCTAGAGTCCAAGGTGGTTTAGTGGAATAACAAAAGTTGATGTGGGTTTATTGCAAATCCCCAAAAGTCCATGGGGTTTTCTGTAATTAACCCTATATTTTATGTGTCATTTGCATATATGTACTAATGTACATGGGTTATATCTCATAGTGATGATACTTTCTAGGCACGTGTTCATTTTCTCCAATTTACGTGTGGTAAAGTGGCATCTTTTCTGTATCTGCATGCGGTTAGAAATCTACTTCCTTATACTCCAATAGTTTTTCCTTTTCTTGATTTTTCAATGTCATCGAAGCCCTTGTAATGTGAAATCTACGTAGCAATCAGTGACAACAATTTCAGTAGTGATATATGCTATTTGCATTGGGCTGTTCTATAGCATTTCACTTCACATTTAAATGGAATCATTTCTCACGGGCCTCTTCTTGTATGATTGTTATGATATCCTTCTCCCTCCCACCTCAGCTGATCTTTCTACAGATTGAGGTTGTACTACAAACTAAATCAACTGAGTTATCAATTATTTAAATTAGTCTTGACAATTTGGTAAACTTCTTGCATTCAGAAATTGCATTCATTAGGCCCTGTTTGGTTCGAACGAAAACTGAAGAAAAGGAAGTTAAGGAGAAAACAATTTTCTGCTGTTTGGTTAGAAAAAAAAGAAAAATAAAAAGAAAAGGAAATTGGGGATTCCAGGAGAAAAAGACGATTGAAAATTTCCCGAACCTTTTCCTCGCCGGAACCCAGCGAAAGCAGGCAAAATTTTTTCGAGGAGAAGGAGAAGAGGAGGCGCAGCCCTTGTGTATTTGCTGTAAAGTTTATTCACTACAATGTGGGCCCCACATAGAATAGGTAATGGCTTAAAATTGCTCACTTGGTTGCTTGTAGGCGCCACGGGAAACAATCAAATCACTGCTATATTCATAAGTTTAGCCCGCAGATTTACAAAAGTTATATTTGAGTAGAGAAGGAAAGGAGATCTTATTGCGGCAATCTATAACAAGTCGTATATTGAGAAATTAAACTTCTACACTTGTCATAACACATTTGAATTTTATACTTGTATTGAATTATATATGTTATTCAATATTTTGTTATAATGACTTCCAAAGTTGTTTGTATTGGTTGTATTAATTTTGTTTATTTGCACTGCTTTTAACTGTTTGCATTAGTTTTATGTACTATTTGTATTGATTTGAATTTCATACTGAGATATGCTTGCATTAATTTTTACTGTTTGAATTGGTTTTATGTACTGTTTGTAATGGTTTAAATTTACGGTAAGTATGTAGAATCTTCTACTTTCGTCCTATATGAATTATTTTAAAAAGCCTTCCATAAGTTTTTTTTAATATGAAGACCGACAACCTTTGTGTGTGATCTGTACACCTTCATTAAAAAAAAGAATTTGAAAATTGAAAATAATTGGAAAATTAATAAATTAATATAGATCACTATATAATAAAATTAATTGCATTTTTTAATATCATTTTAGTGTATTAGCAAGCGAGAGATATTGTTTTTTTCATTATTTTCCTTCAAAATTTTCTCACAACTTTAATCCTAACCAAAATTCTAAAAGAATCCTACTTATCTTTCTTTTCCTTTTCCTTTTCCTTTTCCTTTTCCTTTCTTTTTCATTTTCCTTCTCTTTCATTTCCACTCGAATCAAACTTAGCCTTAAGGAATGATGAAAGGGTTGGACTCCTGAGACTTTAACTGGGCTATGCTTTATCAAAAATGCATTTGATAAAATATTTTCGTTCTTAATCATTTGATGCTACATACTACTTCAATATACAACTTACAAAGGTCACTTGGTCTTCTACCAACTCAAAAGCTGCTACTCAACCTGCAAACCTTTGCTTGTGAAATTTGCTCCTGAAAGCAACTCATAATTTATTTTTCTAAGATTGACTGAACCATGACTAGGATACGTTGAGACACCTTCTATATTCTCAACAATAGCGAAAATAGTTTCACATAAAATATACTCCCTTTCTTTTACCTTTTGTTAGTTGTGGTATCAATTCATGATTATTCATTTGTGATGAAAATTTGTTCTGCCACTATCACTGGGAAGTCTATTCTGGACCATTTCCAAGAAAACATCTGATTTCTTTTGTAGATTGGTGAGGGTGAAAAGCTTGTGAGGGCTCTTTTTGGGGTTGCCTGCTGCCGCCAGCCTGCTGTAATATTTGTGGATGAAATAGATTCTCTACTGTCACAGGTATCTTGTTAAACTCATTGAGTCTGTAGACCATCAACATTGCAGACTCAAGAGTATAATTTTTGTTGCAGCGGAAGTCGGATGGTGAACATGAATCGAGTAGGAGATTAAAGACACAGTTTCTTATTGAAATGGAAGGCTTTGACAATGGAAGTGAACAGATTTTACTTATAGGTAACCAAGGAATATATTGGATCTATACTATTCGTCAGTTAATTCCGTCAATCTTTTGCTATGAACTTCATGGATTATCACATGAACTATTTTTGATTTGTTCTCTATTATTTTTTTTATAGGAGCAACCAATAGACCTCAGGAGCTTGACGAAGCAGCACGAAGGCGACTCACAAAGAGACTGTATATACCTCTCCCTTCTTCAGGTAAATTTTGACTTGGAAATTTCAATCTATATCCCAAGTATTTTAATGAACTGCTTGATTGGTTATGAAGAAGCACGAGCCTGGATTGTCCGAAATCTTTTGGAGAAGGATGGCCTGTTCAGGCTCTCCGAGGACGACACTCAGTCAATCTGCAAACTAACAGAAGGTTATTACTCCGCTACAATTTTCAATTGTTGACATGGTTATTAGCATATCGTAAGTTTCCATCGTCCTCTCATACTGCATATTATTTGTGATTTCTCAGGGTATTCAGGGTCAGACATGAAGAACTTAGTGAAAGATGCTTCTATGGGACCTCTACGAGAAGCCCTGAGGCAAGGCATTGAGATTACACAGCTCAAAAAGGAGGATATGCGCCCAGTGACTCTTCAGGTTGCCTTTACACTAGCACTTTATATGTGTCAATAAAATTACTTGTTGGAATACTGAAATTTGCAACTTCAACTGCGGAGGGGAAATTCCTAGAAAGGCAGTTATAGTTACAGTTACAACTTCTGTTTCGTCGCAACTGTGTATTATTTACTTCAGTTGTAAAAAATTGCCCTTATAACGGAACATATAGCTGCAGGTGTACATGCCTTCTAAATATTCTCAGCTACAAGCATAATCTTCTTACAAACCAAACAAAATTTAAAACAACGAGCCCCTTGTACAAACTTTTTTAGGGTCTTTACATGAATCTTATTCTTCCGGAAAAATTCTGAAAATAGACCACATTTGCTAAATATTTAGCAAAATCGACCATTTTGCTAAATATTTAGCAAAATCGACCTCTTTTTGACCTATTGGCCAAAAAGAGGTCGATTTTCAAAAAAGTGGCTTGAAAACATACGGGACCACTGGTCCCGTATGTTTTCAACACAATAATTACAGATTAGAAAACATACGGGACTAGTAGTCCCGTATGTTTTCTGTCATATTTTTGGTGGCATCAAAATGTACGGGACTACTAGTCCCGTACATATTGCAGAGCCAATTTGCTTCTGCAACCAAATATATGAGACTAGTAGTCCCGCACAATTTACAGAGGTAATTTGTCTCGGCTAGCAAATATACGGGACTACTAGTCAAGTAGTCCCGTATATTTTGCAGAGGCAATTTGCCTCTGCCCATCAAACATACGGGACTAGTAGTCCCGTATTTTTGCTGGGCTGAGACAAAACATGCACAAAAAATGCATGACCCTCTAGCTGAGCATACAACCAAAATTTTTATCAAAATTTTTGCCACAATATATCATCTAACATTGTATACATTGATAAAAGTTATAAAATTAGAACATTATAACACAAATCAAAAAAATACACATTATCACAACACAATACATCATCACAACATCACATCCAAAATTCTACCAAAATTCACATCAGCACAAAATAATTCCAAATGCATTAAGTCTAACCATACGATAATATGTAGCTTAAGTAGAATAAATCCAAATGCATCAATAAATCCATACGACAATATATAATCTACATGGAAAAACTAACAAAGGAAAAATCTACCCCTCCCCCGTTGTGTCGGCCTTCGCACCGGCTGAGATCGTCGGCGGTCCCCTTCGTCTTGAGCTTGTATATGCTCGCTCTCCGGTTGTGTGTGGGGCTGTGACGGACCAGCTTGTTGTGACGGACCAGCTTGTTGTGACGGGCCAGCTTTATCGTCGTGCGTGCAAGATCTATCATGTCTACGTTGGCGCACATATGTAGTATCTTCAAGATCCACCTGCTCACGACCTTCATATCGATCCTCATGAGTTTGTTGAAAAGCTCTACGAACTCTCTTCACTATCCGCTGCAATATCGATACGTCTACAGAATCTCTTATGGCGGTAGTTATACCCTCATTTGCAATCCTCACTATATCGTCCAATGCGTCTATCTACAATTACATAAAAATATTGCTTCATATAAGAAACCAAAAGCTAACATAAAGATTAAAAAATCTATTATAATTTATAGCAATTTACTTACCCATCACCTCTCATCTAACCCTCTTGGTACATATCGAGATTGTTGGTTGTGAATCTCGATTTCGTCGACTGGGGGCGCAATTTGGGTGATTATCCAACGTCGGGTAACCCCCCAATACCATCTTATGTAATCGACTTCCTGCATCGGAGGATAAAACGGATCGACAATAAGTTGATGCCGATCATTCCACCGAGCTATGTATGATTGATGCATGCGCTGCCAGTTAATCTGATGTCCACCTTTAGACGCCTTTCTCTCTATTTGTTCGACCAATTGTGGAGCATGCTGTGTGAGTCCAAACTGTCTAAACACACGATCGGGTACGTGCATCTCCACAATTTCGAAACAAATGAGAGGAACTCTGGACCGCCATATGTCGTGTCCCTCCATACAAATCAGCGGTAGACGATGTAGGTAAGGTGCGTATGGCTGCCACTCGAACTGTAAAATAATCCATATATTAACTGTTATTTGAAATATATCGATAGCTTTAAACGATTGTAATTCAAATTCATACCTGAAAAATTTTCATTCGGTCGAGCTCCCCTCTGTAAAAGTCTAACTGTCTAGCCGGGACCTCATTATAGGCTTTAGTGATATTCCATCTGTAAGTTTTATATACGATAGATTTTTGTTCAAAAGTTTAAATGAAAAATAAAATATCAAACGAGATTAAATTCGCGGAATTTTACCTGCAGCCTAGTGGAATCTGTCCATCCAACTCTCGGATCGCGCATAATCGCGGTTTCAAAACCAGTCTCTCCCATGCCTAAACTTGTAACAATGTCAAACAGCCTTTGAGCTCTTTATTTTGCATTAAAGCAACCTTTGACATTTCTCGATATAGATATGCTAAAACAGCACTACCCCAGGATAATGTCCCACACACGTCAAAGTCTTCGAGAAGTGGTAACCACCTATTGAAAAATGTGGAAGTTAGTCCGATTTTCTAAAAATAGTGAGAAAAAATATCTTCTTATCAAAGTATAAAAGTAATAACAATTTATGACCTGTCTTACCTCAAATGCACTTTATGTTTACTTGAATCGGGAAAAAGAACCGTCCCGATCATGTGCAAAATATATGCTCTAGCATGTTGTTGGATCATGACTTCTGATGCATCGTGTAGCAATGAGTTAGCAAAATTCTCTTTTAGCCATTTCAATCTAATATACCCTCCAGGCAAGGACTCCGGTGATAGTCCTAACAAATTGTCACATACATCCCGCCAAACATGCCTATCTGTCCCCGTGACACAAGGACCATCAATGCGGAGTCCTAGGATCACTGCTACATCCTGAAGAGTAATAGTTGCCTTCCCAACACGTAGATGAAAAGTGTTAGTCTCGGGCCTTCATCTATCCATTAACGCATTGAGATAACGAGATTTGACTTTTAAGCATGCGAGAGAACTCTCCGTGAGCATACGAAACTTCGACAACCCCAGACTTCGGAATATTTTCAATGAACAACTCAATTGCGATTTGTTTATCCATAAGTTGTATCATGTCATTCAATTCTTCATCAGTGGTGATCTCTACCGCAATTGTTCTTTTTTTATTTATTGGACAATTACAAAAGACCTTAATGACATTTTCGGCATGATTAATTATGGTAACTCTGTACATTTGCTCTATCATTCTATCGAAATTGTAATTTCTAGACAACATGAACATTTTCCTAGAGCCTCCATCATATATAGGCAAATTATTCAGACAACATGAACATTTTCCTAGAGCCTCCATCATATATAGGCAAATTATTCATTCCAACACTCAATTTCCCATTGAATAAGCCCATCATATATAGGCAAATTATTCATTCCAACACTCAATTTCCCATTGAATAAGCAAATAATCGGAATTTCATTCGTCATTTTAACTGAAGAATTAAAATTTAACGTATACAAATTAGATATTTTACAAATTGATGATATAATTCATTATTTCCTCTAGATATTCCTCTAAATATACATATTAACTAAACGAAATGGGAGAAATTTATAAAAAAAATTGAAATTGTTACCTTGTCGAAATCGGATTTCGTTGGCGTTGGAGATCAAGTTCGGCGTTAGATTTGAGGGAGGAGGGGGTGAGTTAGCTTTGGGAGAGAGAGATTGGGTTTGGGAGAGATGGAGATTGATTTGGGAGAGATGGAGATTGGGTTTGGGTGTGGAAATCGGGTTTGGGAGAGATTTCAATGGGTTTGGGAGGGGGTGAGATGAGTTTGGGAGTGAAGTTGAAGAGATGAGATGGGTTTGAGAGTGAAGGTGGAGAGAGAAGTTTAATTTAAAGGGGAATAGCGGAATTTAGGGCATAGAGTTGATTTATTTCGACATTTTTACGGGACTAGTAGTCCCGTATAAATGGGTAGGTTGGCTCTGCAAAATGTACGGGACTAGTAGTCCCGTACATTTTGGTGAGCCACCAAAAATATGACAGAAAACATACGGGACTACTAGTCCCGTATGTTTTCTAATCTGTAATTACTGTGTTGAAAACATACGGGACTAGTAATCCCGTATGTTTTCAAGCCACTTTTTTGAAAATCGACCTCTTTTTGGCCAATAGGCCAAAAAGAGGTCGATTTTGCTAAATATTTAGCAAATGTGGTCTATTTTCAGAATTTTTCCTATTCTTCCCTTTAATTCCACGAATCATCATCTCTTCTGTTAAACTAACTACTATCATATTCTTCTTAATTATTTTCAACCAAGTTCTCTTAGACCTTCCTCTAGTCCTTTTTGTTTTATTACCAATAATTTTATCACTTCTTACTAATGCATTTAGTGATCTTCATTCTACATGACCATACAATTATTAGTTGCTCCTAACGGTTGCATCCTTGAACTTATAATTCCTTCATTTTGATGGAGTGAACCATGTCTTTAACAGCTGACTTTTTACTTTTCTTTGTTGTTGTTTTCTAGGATTTTGAGGATGCATTGCAAGAGGTGAGGCCCTCAGTTTCTCTGAATGAGTTGGGTGCATATGAGGAGTGGAACAAACAGTTCGGGAGCTTATCAATGTAGATAAATTTGCTTTTGCACATTTACGTGGCAAAATCTTTATTTGAAGAGTGGTTCCCATATTAATTTGAACTTATAAATTGTTTAAATTTTTTTTACTACATTTACACAAAGTGTTGTCGGGTAATTTTTTTTTCTTGGTAAACAGTGTATGTTTCGTTCAATGTTCAGCTAGAATTTGGTTGGTTCCATTGGTAACAAGCTGAACTCAAGGTAGCCAGTAGGTCCTATTTGCTCATGTTTTGCCCTAAATAAGCTTTGATAGGGCATATTTGTTAAAAGTTGTATGATATTTTGAATAAGTTTTATACCGAATATGAAAGCATATGAACCTGTATGTTTGTTAATATAGAAATCATTAAAGAATGGAAGATGAATGATATTAGCGAATCCCTAGCAAATAACTTTAACATAGTTAACGTGGGTGACTTAAGATAGAAGATAATAAAAGAAGAAGGCTTTGAATACATCTGACTAGTTCTAACTTGTATGTCGATTGGCAATAGTTGTGTCCATTGGGAATAGTTCGTAATAGTATCAAAGGTTCAATTCCAAGGATTTGTGTCCAGTTTAGAATTTAATTAACATTCACTTACACCCCTTTATCGATGCCATATTTTCTTTTTCTCAAAAGCAAATATTATTCTTTTTCCTTCCAATTTTTGCCAAGTACCAAGTTGGTGGGTAGGGCTACGGGTCATAAAGCTTATCTACGCTACCTTGCTGCTTCTAGATTGCTTGTCTCCTCTTACAAAAAGGGTAAGTCTTCTTCATCAGCTTCAGTCTCCTTACCTATTAATGTTAAGAATGACAATGATTTGGCTGATTTTTACTCCAACTGTGGGGCTAATGAGCCTATTCCCTTAGAAGGTCTAGCTCGTATTAAATTTATGAGGGAGAGAGAGAGAGAGGGCGGGTGGGGTTTCTTAACCTCTTGTCCTTTTCTAAGTTGAGTTGCTCTAGTTTTATCCCATGAAGCTTGGTACTTGGAATGTCCGAGATCTTAACGACCCATCCAAAAGAAAATTGGTTAAAGATGTCATCATGTTTTCTTCCGTCGATGTCTTAGGTATTCAAGAAACCAAACTTAACGCTACTAGCTAGGCTTTTATCCTTAAAAAATCTTGGTTCAAATAGAATTACTTTGTGGCTTAGTTTAGATGTGATTGAATCTAGAGGAGGTGTGCTATTAGGATGGAATGATTATTTGCTTGATTGTCTGGATTCCTATATTGGCATCTTTTCTATCTTTGTTATTCTCCTTCACAAACATCTTAACTGGAAATTCCTTGTTATCTTTGTTAACGCGCCTTTAGAATATGAGGATGAAGAGGTGAGTTGGTGGGAACTTACTAGAGTTAGTTTAATGTTTCCATTGCCTTCGGCCTCATTTAGGGATTTTAATGTTACTTTGTATGCCATTGAAAGGAATGGTAGATCTAGTTCTATTAAGGATATGACCTTCTTTAAAAACTTCATCGACTCTCTCTTCTTGATTGATCTTCCCCTTAATGGCAAGAAATTTTCGTGGTCTAATATGAGATCTTCTCTTGTTTTAGCTAGGCTTGATAGATTTTTGGTTTCATCTGCTTTTGAATTCAAATTTCCTTCTCTTGTTCAATATTCATACCCAGCATCCTGTTCTGACCATTCTTTCATCCTGCTGGACACCTCTTCTTTCATGTCTAAGCCTATTTTCAGATTGGATAAATATTGGTTTGATCATTCCTCCTTCAAACCTTTTCTTGCCCAATGTTAGGCTTCTTTCAAGCGTCAGGTTTCCCCAGTTGATAAGTTCTTCTCTAAGCTTAAACTTCTTAAAAGAAGAATTAAATGGTAGAAAAAAATATTTTTGGTTCTCTACAAAAAAATAAGAAGTGCATCCTAGAGAAGATTAATGATCTCTCTGTTCTTGAGGAATCCCGTCCCCTCATGGATCATGAATTTGTTCTTAGATCTTCCCTTTGCGATTCTCTTTCTACCTTAGCTCAATCAGAGGAAATCTATCGAAGACAAAAATTCAGCGTGTTATGGTTGAAGGAAGATGACTCCTATTCTTCTTTTTTCCATAAAATTGCCTCTCATTATAGAAGAAAGAATATCATACCTCACTTTTATCAAAATGGGGTCCTTATCTCTTCAAAAGCTGATAAACAGATAGCTTTCTTTAACTTCTTTTTCAACCTCTTCATATCTAAGCTTCCCTCACCTTTTCACCTAGACTAGGATCATTTATACCCTACTCCTCTTCCTGGCCTTCAATCCCTTGATTCCCTATTCACCAGGGAAGAGATTAGGTCAACTATTTTTGGACTCCATCCCGACAAATTACCTGGTCCTGATGGTTTCTCCATCCTTTTCTACCAATCCTACTGGGAATCCATTGAGTATGAGCTCTTTGGATTCTTCTCACATCTTTTTTTAAGATGCTTCCCCTCTCCACAAAACCAACTTTCCTTTTTTACCCTGATCTCAAAGTCTAACAATCCAAGTGATATTAAAGACTTCAGACCTATCAACCTTCTTAATGGTCTTTTCAAAATTTTCACTAAGGTTTTGGCCAATAGACTTGGTCCTATTCTCTCCTCCCTTGTTGATTGTTCCCAATCTGCTATTCAAGTAAGTAAGTCAACTCTAGACTCCATTGTTCTAGGCCATGAAATGCTTCATAGTTTCTTTTCTAAAAAAATCGAGGCTTGTATCGTTAAGAATGACTTTATTAAAGCCTTTGATTGTATCAATTGGATCTTTATCTTTTCCCTCCTCAAAGCTAGAGGCTTTGGCTCTCGTTGGTGTATGTGGATTGAACATGTTCTTTCCTCCTCCAAATCCTTTGTCATTGTCAATGGTACTCCTTCTAAATATTCTTAATGACATAGAGCTCTCAAGCAAGGTGATCCTCTATCCCCTATGCTTTTCATTCTTATTGTCGATGTTCTTAATAAAATGTTGTTCAATAGCATAAACTCAGGGGACTTATCAGAACATCACATCAAGGAAAGACTTAATGACATTTGATCTCTCTAATTTGTAGATGACACTCTTATATTTTGCAGAGCTGACAAAAATAATGTTTCTACTCTCAAATTTATCCTTTATCTCCTTGAAGAAGTTTATGGTTTGGGGATTAACTTCAGCAAATCTAATCTCTACTATAGTGGTAAATTTACAAACCGGGGTCTTTCTCTTGCTAGAATCCTCAATTGTGCTTTTGCCTCCCCTCCCTTCAAATATCTTGGCCTTTCTTTAAAGAAAGGATCACTGCTAAATCAGACTGGCAGCCTCTTCTTGATTCGTTTCACAAAAAAAACTTGCCTTATGGAAAGGTAAACACCTCTCTTTTGGTGGCCGTCTTGTTCTTCTTAACTCAGTTCTCTCTTCCATTTCTCTTTATTACATGTCTTTTTTTTAAATCCCTAAATGGCTAACCAAGGCAATAGATTAGATTAGATGTA